TACATATATATATACATATATATATATATATATGTATAAATATATATATATATATATATATATTTGTATTATTTGGGTGCAAGAATGCAAGCAAAGAAACACAAAAAAGAGGAGATAGAAAGAAAGAGAATAAACAAACAAAGACAACCACAAATAAACAAAGACAGCAATAAATAAACAAAGACAGCAATAAATACACAAAGACAGCAGCACGGAGGCATTGAAAGGGACAGCCAGTGATAGGGGAAGTGCCTTGCATAAGAAAGAAGTGATGCTACTTGTGCTGCTGCTGCTGCTGCTGCCTCTGCTGCTGCTGTCTGCTGCTGCAGCACGCCTAGAGGCCCGCCTCGTATTGGAGAGAAAAAAACACAAGACAAGCAGCAAAACAGCATAAAACGCATGCAATAGCAATTGCTGCAGCAGCAAAAGCTGCTGCAGCAAGTGCTGCATTACCAACAGCTGCAGCAACAACTGCTGCAGTATTAACAGCTGCAGCACCAACAGCTGCTCCTGCAGCAACTGCAGCAGCAGCAACAGCTGCAGATGCTTTTGCTGCAGCAATAGCATGAAATGTTTGATGCAGCAGCTGCATGCATCTGGTTAATTGACGCAAAGTTTTAAAGGATATCCCTTATAAACCCTTGCTGCTGCTGCAGCAGCAAATATATATATCTCTATATTATATAAATAATATATATTGTGTCTATTAATGTACGCTCCCTACATTATATATATATATATATTATTATATACATAAATATAATATATACATCTATTATATAAATAAAATATAATTTATATATTATTATATTATATATAAAACATACTATAAATATGTTGTATTAAAAAATGTATTCACTTCCAAGCCTAAAGAAGGCGCAAGAAAACAGAGAGGCCCTCTACAGAGACACTGGAGAGACATATCTGTTCTTGCTGCAGCAGCAGCAGCAGCTGCTGTTGCTGTTGCTGCTGCTACTGCTGTCATTACTACTGCAAAAGCTGCAGCGAGCGCTGCTGCATTAAAGCACTGAGTTGCAGCAGCAGCAGACTGCTGTGGCTGTGTAACTTCACAGTGCAGCAGCAGCAGCAGCAGCAGCAGCAAATCTCAGCGATCTGCAATGCGCCAGAGTTTTCCCTCGTGCAGCACACAGTGGTGGAGCTGCTGCTGCAGCAGCTGCTGCTGCTTCAACTGCTTATACAGCTGCTGCAGCTGCTGCTGTTCTGCTGCTGAAGCAGCGAGAGAGACAACACAACCTGGATTGCCGGCCCTCCCTACCCGTCCGCTGCGGTGTAAGAGAGACAGAGCATCTGCAGCAGCAGCAGCAACAGCAGCAGCAACAGCAGACAGGCAACATTAGGAAGCATCAGCAGCAAACGAAGCGGGCCTTTCGCGAAAGAAAGCAGCAGCAGCAACAGCACCCACAGACGCAGCAGCAGCATGTAGTTAGCAACAGAAACTCCGCAGCAGCAGCAGCAACAGCATGGCAGCTAAATCAGCACTGCAGCAGCAGCACAGCTACTGCTCAATACAGCAGCAACACTAGAACACAAGCAGCAATAGCACAGCAGCAGCAGTAGAGGAGCAGAAGCAGCAAAGCAGCAGCAATCAGCTGTGCACAAGCAGCAACAGCAGTAGTGGAGGTATAGCAGCAGCAACAAGCACAGCAGCAGCAGTGCAAGTACAGCAGCAGCAGCAGTGTAAGCACAGCAGCAGCAGCAGCAGCATTACCTTTTGGCAGGTCAAAGTTAATTGCGTGGGTGAGGAGGGGCAAATCGAGTCCCCTTGCTGCTGTCTCCGAAGCTACGAGAACAGCAGCAGCAGCAGCAGAAGAAGAAGAAGCCGGAGCAGCAGCAAGCTGGTGCATAGCAGCAACAGCAGCACGCCGGCTGCTTCCTGTATCTTCCCCTTGCAGCAGCAAACATCTCTCAGCCCCCAAACGAACAGACAACGCGCGCTGCAGGTAAACGGCCGCCTGCTGCAGCCCCAACACAAACAAACAGCTGCATGCATGCATGCAACAATGCATGCAACAAACTGCTGCAGCTGCATGCATGCATGCATGCATGCATGCAGCAAACAGCCGCCACCCACCCCCAACCGCATGCACGTGATGCAAGCATTAGCAGCAGCAAAATGAATAAGAGCTATCTCTTCTTTATATATTATTAATTTGCAGCAGCAGCAGCAAATAAATAATAAATTTATTTCTTTATTCAATCTTTATACTCACCGGCGACCGACAAAATACTATGCACCGCTTATTCACGGGGTCCCCCCGCAGCAGCAGCAGCAGCAAACCTATTTTGTTGCAGTGCGGCCCCGTCAATGCTAGGTGCAGCACGTTACTAGGAAGAGCAGCAGCAGCTGCTGCTGCTCCTGCTGCTGCTCCAGGTGCTGCTGCTCCAGTTCCCTCCTCCGCATTCACTGTAGCAGCAGCAGAAGCAGCAGCAGCAGCAGCTGCTGCTGCTGCATCAGCAGCAGCAGACCTGCCTAGGGCCCCTAAAATCGCCTTGGGGGCCTCTCCGAGTGTAGCGGAAGCCAGCAGCAGCCGCAGCAAACCTAAGCCTCCCCCGCTGCTGCTGTAGCAGCGCTGCAGCAGCTCAATCAAATTAGCAAAACGGTCTTTATCCTTGCTCCTGATGCTGCTGTCGCTGTTGCTGCTGCTGTCGCTGTTGCTGCTGCTTTTGCTGCTGCTTTTGCTGCTGCTTTTGCTGCTGCTTTTGCTGCTGCTGCTGCTGCTGTTGCTGCTGCTGCTGCAGAATGCATCCGCCTCATCAACAACAACAAACGCCAAGTGATGAAGCTGCAGCGCGCCAACCCCCTTGGGCCGTTTCCGCTGCTGCTGCTGCTGCCGGTGCTGTTGCTGCTGTTGCTGCTGCTGGTGAGCAGACTTGAGGCGCAGCAGCTGCAGCAGGCGCCCAGGCGTGGCAACGAGTAGGTTAGCTTTCTGCTGCCGCAGCCGCTGCAGCAGCTGCTCCGAGTTCGCCCCACCTATCAGCAGCGCGGGCCTGATTGCTGCAGCACAGCAGCAAGACCCCTCCCCAGCAGCAGGAGCAGCATCAGCAGCAACAGATGCTGCTGCTGCTGCTGCTCCGGCAGGAAGAGCAGCAGCTTCTGCTGCTGCTTGCTGCCTCCGCAGCAGCAGCTGCTGCTGCTGCTGCACCTGGCTGCTGAGGTAGCAGCAGAGTCTGTACACCTGAGCAGCAACTTCTCTACTGGGGGCCAACAGCAACACCCGAATACCGCCACGCACACGAGACAAGCTAGCACAAACATGCTGCTGCTGCTGCTGCTGCTCTTGCTGCTCCGGTTGCTGCTGCTGCTTCTGCTGCTGCTGGAGATGCTGCTGCAGCTGATGCTTATGCTGCTGCTGCTGCTTCCGTTGCTGCTGTTGCTCTTGCTGTTGCTGCCGCTGCTGCTCTGCATCTGCAAGCAGATACTGAAAGAGAGGCAGCAAATACCCCAACGTCTTGCCGCTCCCTGTGGGGCCCGGCAGCAGCAGCACGCTATCCGCGCTGCTGCCACGCTGCCGCTGCTGCTGCTGCTGCTGCTGCTCTTGCTGCTGCAGCTGCCGGTGCCACAACAGAGAACGCTGCTGCAACGGAGATAAGCACTGAATACCGCTGAGCAGCAACGCGCGCCTCAAGGAGGGATGAAGCAGCTGCATAGAATCTGCTTTGCTGCTGCTGCTGCTGCTGCTGCTGGTCCTGGTTCTCTTGCTGCTGTCGCCGCTGCTGCTGTCAACACCTGTAGACGCCGGGCCATGCTCAGCTCTGCGCTCCAAACCCTGCTGCTCCTTTTGCTGCTGCTGCTGCTGCTGCTGCACTTGCTGCTGCGGCGGCAGCCCGAATGCGTCTGGTGAGATATGCGGCAAAGTGTTTAAATCAACAACCCCATCGATTCGCATCTGCTGCTGCTGCTGCTGCTGCTGCTGCTGCTGCGGTATGGCTAGGATCCCGGGGAAGAGCACTCGCAGCTCCCTTCCTGCTGCTGTTTCAGCAGTCATTGCAGCGGCAGCTGCGGCTGCTGCTGCTGCTGCTGCAGCAGCAGCACTTTTCTCCTCATCGAGCTGTTGCTGCAGCTTCGGCCTGCTGCGAGCTCCTGTCTCGCTGGAGCTACAGCTGTGCCTACCTGAGGAAGTGTTTGGCTGCTGCTGCTGCTGCTGCTGCTTCCGCTGCTTCGGCCGCTTCCCCTCTTGCTGCTGCTGCTTTACTCCAGTCACGCTGGCCTCCTGCTGCTGCTGCAGCTCCTGCTCCAGCTTCTGGTGCAGATGCTTCTGCAGTTGCTGCTGCGTTTGCTGCTGCAGTTGCTGCTGCGTTTGCTGCTGCAGTTGCTGCAGCTGCTGCCGGCGGACCTTGCGGGTGCCTCCATTCTGCAGCAGCTGCAGTGCTTGAGCCTCAAAGGAATTACTGCTGCAACTTTTGCTGCTGCCTGCTGCTGCTCGTAGCTGTCGCCGCAGCAGCTGCTGCTGCTGCTGCTGCCACAGCAGCATGTCCTGCCGCCGCACCTGCTCTGATGGGAGATGTCTCCTCTTGTGCCGCCCCCGCTGCTGCTGCTGCTGCTGCATATTCAGCTTCAAAGGGCCCCCAATAGCAGCAGCAGCAGCACCACCTACACCAGACGGCAAGACATATGCCCAAGTCCCTCCTGCAACGTGCAGCAGCAGCAGCAGCAGCAGCAGCAGCAGGAGTGGTTGGCGCCCCAGCAGCAGCAGCCCCGGGAAGCGCGTGGCTTGTTGCTGCTGCTTCGGGCCACCCATTGTCATCAGAGCAGCAGCAGCAGCAGCTAACAGCCGCTGCTGCTGCTAACAGCTGCTGCTGCTCTTGCTGCTGCTGCTGCAGTGAGCTAAGGGAGACGGCGTCGCTGGTGCCGCTGCTGCAGAATACAGCCCCCAGCAGCAGCAGATCCTGCTGCTGGCGCTACGCAGCGGAGATCCATCGCTTCCTTGATGCTGCTGCTGTTGCTGCTGCTGTTGCTCTTGCTGCTGCTGCTGCTGCTGTTACTGCGCTCTGAGCCGCCCGGTGTTGTCGGCTGCAGCATTTGAACGTACACGCCAATGCTTTGCTGCTGCGCTTGTATAAGTTTTGCTTCAGTAAAAGCAGCAGCAACGGTAGGAGCTGCAGCAGCAGCGAACCTCCCTGGACCCTTCACCCCCCGAGCTGCATCGACACAGTAGCAGCAGCACCGACAGCAGGAGCAGCAGCAGCAGGCGCTGCTGTTGCAGCAAAGCAGCAAACAAGGGAAATGCGACAGAAAAGACAGCTTCTGATGCTGCTGCTTAGCATTTGCTGCAGCACACGGACGGTTTTTCTATAGAGGCAGCAGGTAGACGTGATGCTGCTGCAGCAGCTGCTGTTGCTGCTAAGAGTGGTCTGTTGCTGCACCCGCTTCAGCCCCTGGGGCAGCCGCCGCAGCAGCAGAAGCAGCAGCAGCAGCTGCAGCAAGGAGAGCAGCAGCAGCACCGCCAGAAAGCATCTTATGCAGCACGGGAGGCTTCATAAAAAAGAATTTGTTTATACGCGTTTGCTGGTTTGCTGCATAGGCGGCCTTTGAATGCATTCTCTCGTTGTTGTAGACGGTGCTGCTGCTGCTGCTGCAGCGGAACTGCTGCTGCGCCGTACAGCCGGCTGCAGCACCTCCTAACAGAATTGCATCTTCTGGGGGACGTCTTTAGTCAGAATAGGGTCTATTTGGTTTTTTAGTTGGCCATTAGGGGCCCGGCAGTAGCAGCAGCAGCAGCAGCAGCAGCAGCCGCAGCAGGAGGAGCGCCAGCAGCAACGACGCCTCCTCAGCTTCGGCAGCAGCAGCAGCAGCAGCGGTTGCTCCTGATGCGTTTTGTGGAATAATAGTGTCCTTTAAGAGGAGTGCTTGATATCTCGCAGGTTAAGGAGCCTGCTGCTGCTGCTGCTGCTGCTGCTGCTACCTTTGCTGCTTCCGTCGCTGTTACTGCTGCTGCTGCTGCAGCACTAGCACACGTACTCAACGAGTTGGGGAACCTCTTGCTGCTGCTTGAAGAGATGGGTCGTGCTGAGCCGCAGCAAACTGCGTTGTCTTCTACGGTGCTCCCTGCTAATCAGAGCAGCTTCTCTTCATTGGAGAGCTGCGCCGGCGCAGTAGCAGCTGCAGCAGCAGAGGCAGCACCAAACAACAAGCATGTACAGAAGGGCTGGCCTTTGACAGTCGACAGCAGCAGCTGCGCTGCAGCAGCAGCAGCAGTTCTGTCTGGCTGTCCGTACACTGCACTCGCCTGGAAGGAAGGGGGATGCCCCGCAACAGCAGCAGCAGCGGCTGCTGCTGCTGCTGCTCCTTGCTGCCATTCAGATTCATCGATCCTCGCTGACGGATGTATGTGTGGGTCGGAGCATCACCTTCAGTGCCATCAGCAGCAACTGCTGCAGCAGCAGCAGCTGGCGCAGTTGTTTAGCTGCTGTGATACAACAAGCGTTGATGGGCTGCTGTTGGGTTTGCTGGCGAAGATAACAGCGGAGCATCCGCAGCTGCTGCAAGGAAAATTTCTAGCGTTTAAAGAAACAACCGAAAAAGAGGTGTGCAGACACTGCAAGTGCTGCTGCTGCTGCTGCTGCTGCTATTCTGCTGCATATTCTCATGCCGCTGCTGCATTTTTTCTGCTGCTGCAGTTGCAGCTGTTGCTGCTGCATGCACGGAATCATTACTGGGGGGAAGACAAGGTCTTCTGCAGCTAGCTATTGAGCAGCAGCAGCAGCAGATGTTGTTTTATGTGTGTCTGTCTGCTGCAGCATTACCCTGTGTGTGTAAAGGAGCTGGCGCTGAAGACGGCGGAGATGCATCATCATTACCATCAGCAGCAGCAGCAGCAGCAGCAGTTGGCAGCTCTAAGCAACAGCAGCAGCCAGCGGATTGTAATGATAGGCCTTGAGTGCAGCAGCAGCAGCAGACAAGTGCGGCTGCTGCGCTGGGCCCGCCGTCATTTGCTGCGAAGCGGAGATGTTGTTGTGTTGGTTTCCTGCTGGGAGCTCGCCAGAGACCCCAAATATGTTCGTGTACCTGGTATGCTGCTGCTGCTGCTGCTGCTGCACTTGCTGCTGCTGCACTTGCTGCTGCTGCGCATGGTGCTGGGGTTGGTGCACTTGCTGCTGCTGCGCATGGTACTGGGGTTGGTGCACTTGCTGCTGCTGTGCATGGTGCTGGCGTTGGTGCACTTGCTGCTGCTGCTGCACTTGCTCGTGCTGCTGCTGCACGTGTGTCTGTTGGTGCTGCACTTTCTGCTGTTGCTGCTGCACTGGCTCCTTTTGGGCCTGCTCTCGGTGCAGCTGTTGCTGCTGCTGCTGGTGCTTCTGCTCTTTGTTGCTCGCTTTTTGGTTGTGCCCCTGCTGCTGTGTGTTTGCTGCTGATGCTTCTGCTGCTGCTGTTTGTCTTCCTCATGCTGCTGGTGTTGCTGTTTCTGCTGCTGCTGCGAGGACTGCGTTTCTGTTGCAGCAGCTGCTGCAGCCGTTGAAGAGGTGCGTTTGCTGCAGTTGCTGCTTTTCCTCATGCTGTTGCTGCTGCTAGTATTTGCTGCTGCTGTTTGCAGGCATGATTCTCGCAGCTACTTCAGCAGCAGGAGCATACAACCGACAGCAGCAGCAGCAGGTGCAGCAGCGGCTAAGGGACCTTGCTGAATCCGCTCTTAAAGGCCTCCACGTATACTGCCTCGCCGTACCCATCAGTCAGTCTGCTGCTGCTGCTGCTAGTATTTGCTGCTGCTGCTGCTAGTATTTGCTGCTGCTGCTGGTAATGCTGCTACTGCTAGTGCTAGTATTTGCTGCTGCTGCTGGTAGTGCTGCTGCTGCTAGTATTTGCTACTGATGCTGCTGCTGCTGCTAATACTTGCTGATATGCTTCTACTGCTAGTATTTGTTGCTGCTGCTGCTGCAACTACAACTGTTTCTGCTGCTGTCGCTGCCCCTCCGCGTGTTGATAATTGATTATTACTACTATCCGTCTTGCTGCCCGGTGTATATTCACAATTATATTTATTTTTAGTTGGTAGTTTTTATTTATTATTAATTATTATTTATTATTATTTGCTGCAGGTAGCACCCGAAAGACATCTGTGGGGAGCCTGCTGTGCAAGGCGTCAAGACAGCTGCGCGCAGATGTTTTGCTGCTGGGTGGCCGGAGGCATTGGTTAATAAGAAAAGTATTTTTCGGTTCTGTCGGCAGCTATGCAAGAGCGCATGCAAAGTGCCCGGTGCTGCAGTGCTCCAACGCCTAGCTGCTGCTGCAACAACAGCAGCAGCAGCAGCAGCAGCAGCGAAAGCAGCGGAAGCAGCAAAAGCGGAAGCAGCAGCAGATTCCTAAACGGTACTGCAGAGGAAAAAAAAGAAGCAGCAAAAACAGCAGTGGTGGACTGCATGCACAAAGAAAAGTGCATGCAGAAACAGCAGCAGAAGTAGCAGCAGCAGCAGCAGCAGCAGCAGCAGATTGCATGCAGAAGCAGCAGCAGAGAATTGCATGCAGAAGCGGCGAACAGCAAATTTGGTGTCAGCAGCTCGTTAGGTTGCTTATGTGGCCTCAGCGTAAATTCATATCGGTAGCTGCAGCAGCAGCAAACAACAGCAGCAGCAGCAGCAGATTGCGTGCAGCAGCAGCAGCAGCAGCTGCTGCTGCGGTCCTTATATGTATATAGGTTTGGTGTAGCAGCAGCTTTACAAAATGCTGCATGCAGTATGCGTGCATGCAGGATGAGAGAAATTCTTGCTGCAGTCGCAGCAAATGCATTTCTCCGTCCTTCGCACAGCAGCAGCAGCAACAACAGCAGCAGCTAATGCAGCAGCAGCAGCAGCAGCAACAGATGGACAGCAGAAGAGGTGGTGCTAATGATGTGCTCATGAAGGCACGCGGTTCTGGGGCTTGCTCTGCATGCAGCATTAGAAATGCTCGTCTTCTTAGCTTCCTGCCGCAGCAGGAGCAGCAGCAGCAACAGCTGCTGCTGCTGCTGCAGCGGTAGATGCAGCAGGAGACGGGTGCTGCGAAAAGAATACCTTTGTTGTGTTGTGTGGGGCGTTAGCTTCCTGTTGCAGCAGCAGCAAATTGCTGCTGCTGCAGCAGATGCAGCAACACCACACCAACTTTTATTCTTCGTATCGAAGGCCCCGGAGGTGCAGAGGAGGAAGGTTTGGCGCATGCAGAAACTGTTAACTGCATGCATGCATGCATGCATGCATGCAGTTCTGCTGAGGTGTACGTACAACAACGCCTGCATGCATGCAGCAGAGTAGGGCAGGTGCTTGCTGCTGCTCTGCTGCATGCACAAGGTGCATGCGCCTACAGATGATGTTTGTATTTGTGTTTATATAAAATATATATAATATATATTATTTATGTTGTTATGTATATATATATATATAAATATATATATATATTAATTAATACATGAATTGCATATATAAACACAAGTTTTTAAAACGATTGCCGCCAATGCACGTATGTCTATGTGCATGCAAGTGGTGTGAAACCTTTATAAAATATATATTATATATGGATAATAATATATAATATATATTATATTATCTATTATATATTGTATATATTGTATATATTATGTGTATATCTCCGTATTACTCGCTATACGCTTTACTCATGCACTTCATATCTGTACCGGTTGCAGCACAGACCCAACTTGCATGCATGCACGCATGCATGCAGGGTTTGCATGCGTGCGTTGCATGCATGCATGCGTTGTTGCATGCATGCATGCGAACGTTGCATGCATGCATGCATGCGTTGTTGCATGCAGGGTTTGCGTGCATGCGTTGTTGCATGCAGAGTTGATGATATGTATGAACGGTAGCGGCAGTTCTTTGGGTCTTTTCAGGGCCAACGTAAACCCAAATGAATATACACACACGTTCAGCAGCAACTCGAGAGGCAAGAGCAGCAGCTGCTGCTGCAGCAGCAGCTACATACAGCAGGAACAGTAGCAGGAGCAGCAGCAGCAGGAGCAGCAATAGTAGCAGTAGTAGCAGCAGCAGCAAAAGGTATTATTAACATTAACAGCGCGGGTGCAGAAACGATAGCTGAGCTGTTCTTCCCCTCCTAGAGTTTAGGGATTAGGGTTTAGGGTTTAGGGTTTACAGAGAGGCTTCAGCTGAGAAACTGCACCTCAAGCAGCAGCAGCAGCAGCAACTGCAGCTGCAGCTCCAGTTCCTGCTGCTGAAGCAATAATCCAGCGAGCAGCAGCAGGTGTTGCTGCTGCTGCTGTTGGGTGTGTAAGAGTGCGGCTTGTGGAGGGCAGCAAAGCCCTAAACCCTAGAAGCTAAAGAGCCTAAACCCTAGCAATGCTAAACCCTAGCAACCCCGACCCCCAGAAACCCTAAACCCTAAGTACTGCAATCCGTAAGAACATCGAACCGCAGAATAGCTAAACCCTAGTTGGTAGAGACCCTAAACCCTAGCAACTGTAAAACCCTAACAACACTAAACCCTAACAAGAAACCATAGAAAACCCCTAAACCCTGAAGACAGCAACGTTGAATGTTCTCATCTTGAGCTTATTTTATGAGATAACCCCACACGAGCACACTAAACCCTAAACCCTAAACCCTCGAAATAACTCAAACCCCTCTAATAAGCCCTCAAGATAAACCCTAATCCCTTGAAATAAACCCTAGGCCTTTAATATAACCTCTAAACCCTTGACATAAACCCTAATACCGATTCTATATCCTATATATATAAATATTAATGCTTACACCCACACAATTTTTTATAGAGTATATATAACATATCATCTGCCTTGTTGATATGCTAAAAGCTCAGTTATAGCAGATGAAAACCCTAACAAAGAAAACAATTTATTGATACTTATATTTGTTTTTATTTTAATTTATATTTTTATAGTTCAATCTGCATATGAATACACCCTTTGAAGACAAAACCCAATAAGTGACCTCACATGATGGGGAGCCTTTAGGGTTTAGGGTTTAGGGTTTAGGGTTTAGGGTTTAGGGTTGATTGGGCATTTGAAATGGCGATTTTTTTGTGAAATATCTTTTTTATTAATTTTTAAAGGGATTAACACTTAGCAACAAACGCAATAAAACTAAAGAAAAGATATTTGTTCTTAGAGTTGCAGCTCGTGTCTATCTATTGCCTAGCCCTAGCCTTTCTCCCTCGTTTAACTTTTTCTTTAAATTATTCACGAAGCTCTGTTTCGTTTTAAAAATATAAAATTATAAATTAATAAATTATTAAACTAATAAATACCCTTTTAAACTCCGAAAAACCCTTCGGGTAGTCCTTCCCAAGGGTCTATTAGGGTTTAGGGTTTAGGGTTTAGGGATTAGGGTTTAGGGTTTGGCGTTCCGAAGATGGAGGAAGGCGTAGAGTGTACAGCAGCAGCAGCAAAACTATTTGCTGCTTATGGGGGCTCTCCTTGGAAGCAGCAGCTTCAGCTTTGGGCTGCAACAGCCCCCAAGGTGATAGCAGTATCTCTCCTCAACAATGAGGTGTGCCGCAAGGGTTTAGGGTTTAGGGTTTAGGGTTTAGCGTCTGGGACCTTTTTGAAAATCGCAAACAGGAGAGTAGAGGGCGAAATACAACGCAGGAGGGGTGCCTGGCAACAGCAGCAGCGGTGTCTCTGTTGGTTTTGTTGTTGCTGCTGTTGCTGCTACTGCTGTTGCTGCTGCTGCTGCTGCTGCTGAAGCGGCCACTGCAGTTGTGGTCTATTATGTGGGGCAGGCTGAGGTGGCGGAGCAGCGAACATTTGCTGCTTTTAGGGACGAAGCAATTGCTGCTGCAGCAGTGCTGCAGCACCTGCTGCAGCAAAGACAGCAGCAGCCGCAAGAGACAGCAGTTGTTCTGTAAGTCGGGTCATTCTGCTGCTTCTGCTGTTGCTGCTGCTAAATTCCCTGCTGTTGCTGCTGCAACAGCAGCAGAATGTTCAGCTCTTGCTGCCTCTCTGTTCGGTTCTGCAATCTTTCCTGGTGCTGTTGTTGCTGCGCGACTGCTGCTGCTGCTGTTGCTGCTGCTGTTGCTGCTGCTGTTACAGAAGCATTTCGCATGAGCTGACGTTTCTGCCGATGTTCTTCGGCTGTCTCCTCGTGGGAGTCCCTTCGGTCCCCTTTCCTTCTCCGCGCAGCTCTCCTACTGTCCTGCTGCAGCAGCAGCAGCTGCAGCAGCAGCTGCAGCAGCTGCTGCAGCAAGCCCCATCACCATGGATAGTCCTTAGTGACGATCCTGATATGTCCGCTAAGCCCTAAACCCGACAGAGCAGCAGCAGCTGCTGCTGCTGCGGCTGCTGCCTCTGGTACTGCTACGGCTGCTGCTGTTGCCGCTACAGCGACTGCAACAGCAGCTGCTGCTTATGCTCTTGCTGTTGTTGCTGCTGCTGCTGCTGCTCTCTTTGTTTGGCAGGCGATCCGCTGCGCGCTCCGCGAGAGATGGGGTTGAGGCCATTGACATAACTGAAGCACTTCAACAGCAGCTGCAGCAGCACAAGCAACAGCAGCAGCAACAGAATAATAACCCCAGCAGCAACACCAGCAACAGCAGCAGCAGCAGCAGCAGCATTGCTGTGATACAGCTGTCTTCGGGGTCTACAGGGCGCCCCAGGCCTTGCGCAATATCTCAGGGGGCCCTTCTTTATTCTGTACACCTCAACCTGCGGCTGGGCCAATGGCCTGCATGCAGCAGCAGCAGCAGCAGCATCGGCAGCAGCAACAGCAACACCAGCAGCGGCAGCAGCAGCAGCAGGTGTGTTGTAGATGCCAGCTGCAAGTGCTGCTGCATCTCCTGTAGCGCCCCATCTCCGGTGTACGTACACCTCATGGAGCAGCAGCATAACGAAAGGAAACGGCTGAAGCAAAAAAGGG